ATTGAAACTGCATTTTTCGACACTATTTGAAGGTAGGCTCTAATTTGATTGTTTAGAGCCTAGGCTCTATATAAACTGCACCCTTGTGTAAAATAGTAAGAAATGTAGGTATATGTGGGTATTTATAAATGTTGTAGTGATCGTTTGGATCCTAGGGTAAACAAAACCATATTTTGGTTCATAACATGGTTATGCAAACCCTGCCAAAACTTGGTTATTGAGAAATGGTTGTTTGGATAGCATGTAGATAATACCCCAGTTATGCAAAATCCCTCGTTTGGGTCATCTATTTGCGTAACTTTGGTTTACACTATTTAGGATACATTTGATAGGAATGAAACATTTTCATGCAAAATATTTTCATGTGAAAATTGCATTACACATATTTGGTATGTAACAATACATATAAAAAAATTTCCCATTATAAAAATTTTTACTAAAATTTTGGAGAGAGCAACTACCTATAACTTTTTAGAGATTGAAACTCTCCCATCATTTTTAGAGAGAAAATTGTCTCAAACTTTAAATTTTATATAGTTTCTCTCCAAATATTTTGAGATAGTTTCTCTCTCTAAAAATTTGAAATTTAAGATTGTTGAGATTTTTTCTCTTTCTAAAATTTGATATAGTTTCTCTCATTAAACTTTAAAATACTTTCCCTCTCTAAAACTTAAAATTTGAGAAAATTTCTTAAAAAGTTTTGATATAGTTTCTCTCTCAATTTTTTTTATATAATTTCTATCTCTAAAACTAGATATAGTTTCACTCTCTAAAGATTTTAAGATACTTCCTCTCTAAAACTTGAACTTTGATATAATTTATCTATTTAACATTTGAGATAAAATTCCCTTTAATTTTCTTGTGATAGTTTCTGTCTCTAAAAATTTAGGTCTTATTCTCTCTCTAAAATTTTAAGATACTTTCTCTCCCTAGAACTTGAAATTTAATATAGCTTCTCTCTTTAAAAATTTTGATATAGTTTTTTTTCCTAAAATTTTTTAGATAGTATCTCTCTCTAAAATTTGATATAGTTTATATCTCTAAAATTTTAAAATACTTTCTCTTTTTAAAACTTGAAATTTTGAGATAGTTTCTCTCACTAAAATTTTTCAGATATTTCTCTCTAAAAAAATTTAGGTAGTATCTCTCTCTAAAATTTTAACATTTGCTTTATCTCTAAAACTTGAAATTTAAGATAGTTTTCTCTCTCTAAAATTTTGGACAATTTCTCTCTCTAAATTTTGATATAGATTTTCTCTCTTAAATTTTGAGATATTTTCTCTATCTAAAACTTAAAAATTGAGATACTTTCTCTCTCTAAAATGTTTCAAGTAAATTATCTCTAAAATCTGATTTGTTGCTCTCTAAAGTTTGATTTGTTGCTCTCTAAAGTTTTAAGATACTTTCTCTTTCTATAAATTCAAATTTGATATGGGTATGCTTTCTAAAATTCTTAAAATAGTTGCTCTCTAAAAATTCAGGTAGTTTCTCTATCTAGAATTTGATATATTTTATCTCTCTAAAATTTTAATATACTTTATTCATCCAAATTTTATAATTAGATATAATTTTTCTCTCTAAAATTTTTGAGAAGGGTTCTCTCTCTAAATTTTTTATATAATTTCTCTCTAAAATGTGACATGGTTTCTCTCTCTAAAATTTGAGATATAGTTTATCTTTAAAAAATTTGAGATAGTTTCTCTCTCTAAACTTTTTTAGTAGTTTCTCTCTCTAAAATTTGATATAGTTTCTCTTTTTAAAATTATGAGATACTTTCTCTCTCTAAAACTTAAAATTTGAGGTGGTTACTCTCTCTAATTGTGTAGATGCTTTGGCATAATTAATGGTTTTGTATACCCATGTTTTAGCCACCTTTTTTAGTTTCATAAAATATCCAAAAAGTTGCCAAACATGGTTTTTTGTTGGATAACACGGTTATACAAAACCACGTTTTGTTTACCCTAGGATCCAAACGATCATGTTGTCAATAATATGAATATATGATGGTAAAAAAAAGGGCAAAAAAGAAAAAACAAGCTCATAGTCATAGCCCGCGTGTCTAGACCCGGGACCAGATGGGTAGACCCAATCTCGAACCTGGTCCATTCGGGTCCCGGACCAGCCCGTTGCCACCCCTAAAAAGGGGTACTACATATCAGTGTTCCCAAAATCGGCTGATTAGATCGCTACCGCTGGGGTGGCGAGTCCGATTAGGTCCAGTTTTGCGGTACACGTCATTAGACAGCCCTCTCCAAAAAAAATTGGATCCAAAACCAGCCGGTTCAATTCGAACCGGTAGTTTTTTCTCAAAACCAACAAGTTTTCCTAACTGGTCCGATTTACAGTTTTTATCGCCTGATATAACGATATAACGGTAACACCAATATAACGGCCGGTATTTATCATAAGACCTGTTATATGTAGCAGAAAAAGTATGAATCCAAAATTTCACCTTTTTTTATTCGATTTGCGGCCATATTTTGTTTTTTTATTGATTTTCAGCCATTTTTTGGCTTTTTTTGTGTTTTAATGGTTTAAATCACTATATAATGAACATAAAACAAGTAATTTAGATCTAAACATTGAAAAAAAAAATTTCTTGGATTGAAATGGCGGATTTTTTAGGTTTTTGAAAATTTCCACCATTCTTCCAATAATCTCCTCAATACCTAATGGTTCTTGAAGAAATTTGAGGATTTTGATTGCTATTTGAAGTATTTACTAGATTCAAGTTTTAATTTGTTCAGAAAACAAAAAATCAAGGGTTTCTTTTTGCCCGAAATGCTGCTGCTCAGAGAATCTGTGTTTATCCAAAACGCAGATTTTTATCCATTTATTGGTTGTTTTTTATCAAATTGAGTTGTGGATTTCGATCGTTGATGCTTCATATCTCAAATAAAATTGGTATGTTTTTTTATATGTTTTTTTATGATTGATTAAATTGTTTTATATAAATTTTTTCGTTGCACCATATCATGAAATTTTCATAGATCTGAAATTTCTGCATTTTTTCAATTAAATTAAAAATATTGAATATTTTTTTATGATATTTGATGCGTTTGAAAGATGATCGAAGCCTTTACAATGCATGGATGTTTATTTGTTTGATTATCCAAACATTGAAGGTCGTTTCTTGCTCGAAATGTTGCTTCATTTTTTGGGTTTTCGAAAATTCGATTTTTCTAAAAAAAAATATTGTGTAATAAAATTATGTTTTTTGATGAATATGGGAAGGGTTTTGCTATTTTGCTTAAATAATTATGATTTTTTAATAATTTTTTTTTTATGAGAAGTGTTTTTCTATTTTGCTTAATAAAATTATTTTTAGTAGAATTATAAATTTTTAATAAAATTACGTTTTTTTAATAAAATTATGTTTTTTAATAAAATTATGTTTCTTTAATTAAATTACAGTTTTCTATTTTGCTTAATAAATTTATTCATTTTGATAAAATTAATTTATTTTTATGAATTTGATTATTCTTTTTGATAAGAGCATGATAATGTCGCTCGATTTTTTTGAATTATGTTTTTTTAAGTGCATGATATAGTTATATTTGTAATGATGGAAATGGAATATTTTGTTTTTTTTCAAGTGCATGTAAAAATTTTGGTTGCCTTATGTTTAATGAAACACTACACCATCGTTTTGTATGTGCTTGGTTCTTCTCTTTCTCAAAATTTTTTTTTTCCCATTTTCTATCAAGGTTTTTGGAATGTTATGGAAAGAGCCTTTAAAAGATCAGTCGATTTTTAAAAAATCGACTGACTAACTCAGGATCGGTCACTGGATGATCTCGATCTGGCCCGATTCGAGAGAGAGAGAGAGAGAGAGAGATTACAACGGTGATCTTAATTTTAAATCATCCATCACATTTTGAGAAATTGATTTTTCTAAAAAAAAATTCATTTTGCTTAGTAAAATTATGGTTTTTTATCAATATGGGAAGTTTTTTTTTTATATTGCTTAATAAAATTATCTTTCGAATAAAATTATGTTTTTTGATAAATATGGGAACTGCTTTTCTATTTTGCTTAACAAAAATATTGTTTTGATAAAATCATGGTTTTTTATGATGAATATGGGAAGTGGTTTTCCATTTTTCTTAGTAAATTATTTTTTGATAAAATTATGGTTTTTTAATAAAATTATGTTTTATGATAAGTATGGGAAATGTTTTTCTATTTTGCTTAATAAAATTATTTTTTGATCAAATTCTTTGTTCTACTATTCTTATTTTTTGATAAAATCAATGCACAACACACTGATATGGATATGGTAGATACATATAAGACCCTTAGACCATATCAATTGCAGTGTATTGATTTTTTATTTTGTTGTATATCATGAGATGTACTTTTGTGAAGTATGCCTTAATTAACTTCATCAAAAAAGTATTGTATGAATTATGCTTTATCTAACCATATGGAAAAGGTCCTTTCCATTTCTTGTTTAAATTAGGTTGCATTTTTATTTGATTTAATAGCATTAAGCTACTTTTGTCATTTGCAAAACAGTGCATAAACTTTCATTCATAATGTGAGCAATTTTTGTACAAAAAGAAATAGAAAGTTTTCAATGTAAGATTTGGGATGAATATGTTAATTCTTGGAAGAATATGTTACATGAAAAAAACATCTTCAAAAAATACCCTAAGATATTTTCATGTTCAGGACCATAGTATTCAAATATTAATTTATAAAAAGTTGTTTCAATTTTTTTTTGTAAGATAAATATATTTTATAAGATATTATATATTTAATATAAGTATTTCTATTTATTTTTATTTTTTTGAAAGTTTTAGATTTATTTTTTTTAAAAAAATCTACTTGATAGGTTAGTCGGGTTAACCACTCTGATTAGTCCGGTTCTGATTTAAACCATTCCCCAGCCCATGTCTGGTTAAGCGTTCTTCTTTTTCACGCTTGCTAACAGTACTTTACCACGCTTTCTAAATTTTAAGCGCGCAACAATCTCTCTCGAGAGGGACATTACCGTCATTACGTTTACTAACTATTGGTAATTTGCGAGGCCCTTTGAGCTCTCCTCTGTGTCTACACCTCTCACTCGGGCTCTCTACACTTGTTCGCGCGTGCAAACCCGCAAAACCCTCTATAACTAGTGCGCGCACCAATTTCATTATTTCAATCTCTTTCTCTCTCTCTCTATATCGCGAATGGACTGGTTTCTCTCACTACTACTCCGAATCACTATCATCCCCTATAATTCAGGGGTTTTCTGCAAATTCTAAGGTATTCATTCCATCCTTTCTCATATTTCCACCATTTCTTCTCCCTGCAAACCTTCATTGATGAAATTCAATATGCATTTCTCAGGTCTTTCAGCTTATCCACTGTAAGTGTTGCTTCAATTTGCAATTCCTTACTCTTAAAAGCTCTTTTAATCCGTATATCCATTTGTCGGAAAAAACCTAAGTTGAAAGCTAGTTTTGTGCATTTAATTGCATGTGTGGACTTGATTGCATAAATACTATTTTTTGCTTCCTTCAGTTAAATTCCTTTGCATATAAATTGTTGGCCTTTTGGAGAAATTGCTTAGATCATCATAATGGAGTTTTCCTTGAGTTTTGTGGCTTTATCCCAGAGTATTTTGGGTTATAATACAATTTTTATGGTATAATCCTTTTGGTTCTCTCATGAGGTGGCTAGAGTGAGAAAACTGTTTTGGTACTTCAAAGAGTTGAAGTTATTCAAGGATAATCTTAAGGTTTCGCGCAATGAGAATTTGGTGTAGATCTTGGTTATTTGGTTGAGAATGTGAAATAAAAGTATATATTGTATATCTGGTTAATATAGAAGGTGTATATTGTAATCAATAACTATGGGAAGGCTAGGATATTGTGTCTTGTATTTTATGGTAAGTCTGGGTATAGTTTAGGCATCTATGATTTAGTTTCTATTAGTGTCATCTGTAATTTGTCTATAAAATACAAGTCTGTATATTCATATCAATTAATGGACACTGAGTCTCTTTAGAGAAACGTGAGACTCTTCTGGTGTCTTTGTTTTGCTTCTGAGGTAGTATTGATGGCATAGTTACACCTGTGATGTCTTGTTGAGGTGGTAGATATTTAGAGCTGAACATTTTGTGCGGCTTCTGAGACCAAGCTAAGGTTTAACTCCATTGCTTGGTTTGTTCAATTCATTCATCCTTGTCCATTATTCAAGCTCAATTTTTTTTAATATCTTCTTAGCTAGAAGTACATATAAGTTATGAACTAGGGAGAGGAATATAAACAGGTTCATCCTTAGCAGTATTGCTCGCAACATGCTTATTTGATGTCTTCAACATATCGTTGGTCTCTTATCTTTCCCCTCCTTGTAGACAGCCCTTCAATGTTGTTCCCTGGCTAATATTGTGTTTATGGCATTCATTAGACAATATATGGAATTCCACAAGAATTTCGTTCAGTTATATTTTTTTTTTAATCATATTGGTAACTATGATTTGTATATATTCTGTAATGAGATTCTCAATGTGAAAAAGCTTTTGGATAGTTAATTTCATAATCTTTTATATTTTTTTAAAGGAAATTAAAGGAAGCATATGCCTTGCTTTTGCCTAGTACTTGCAGCCTTAGAGTTGCATCAGTTCTCGCAACCTATTATTGTTGCCTTAGTTTACTTAATTATGATTGTTTTCCTTAGATATGTAATAATTTACTAGCCTATGGCAACTTTTGATGTCCATGCAGGTTTCTTTCCCAAAATTACGTTAGAGCTTATGTGCTTGTTGATCGTGGATGATCAAAGATGAGGGAAATAGTGACTATCCAAGTTGGTGGGATTTCAAACTATATTGGCTCTCACTTCTGGAATTTTCAAGTAAGAAATTCTTATTTTGTTGCATCTCAAAGTGTTATCTTATTCTTACATGTCTGAAGTCTTCATCCTGATTAGATTGTCTTCAATTCGAGGCATATCTTTTGTACAATGTGAAAAACGGTTCAAATATCTTCTTCGTCATGAATGTCCTCTCTTGTTTTTGCTTTTCGATCATCTCGTTATTCCGTGTTGTGGCACAAGTGGAACCGTTCAAGTTACTATTTAAAGGTGTTTTGTGATGTTATGTAACATGGACATGTTTGTCAATGGCTTTTTGCTCATGTCGACACAAGGACATGACACCTGTGCATGACACTTTAGAAACCTAAACACTTTTCTTAGTCTTTCTTGAGAATCTCGCTATAAAAGTACTTAATGTCGCCTAAAATCCCACTTCACCTTCTTTAAACGGTATATGCACGTGTCCTGTTTGAAAGGCCACTTTTGATAATGGGGTCTCGGGCACTCATTTCTATGTTAGATGCTGAAATGTGTATCCATGTCTATGTAGCATAATTGTTAACTAGGATGTTGGAACATGATTGATGGTAAGTGATAACTTAGACTTTGGGCGGTACCAAAATATGCTCCTCAGCCTTATGTTGAAGTATAATGTTTGAAGAACGTACTTTCACACACACACACACCATACATGTCTTTTGTGAGTGTGAAGCTAACCAGATAAGGCCAGGCTATGGGTTATGTTCTTTCAAGGCCTTAAAAGTCTGATATTTTCATGGCTCTGACTTTAGTGAGAGTAAAAGAGTGACATAACTCTAGGATCCTGGCGTACTACGACCAAGAGTCATGAAACCTTGAGAGAGTCATGAGAGGGCTTTATCTCGAGCGAAAGGCACCGAGAGATTTAAGGGTTTCCCGTAGTCAACGGTTATTGTTATTATGCCTCATGACTGTGTGATGGGCCAGGGCATTGTGTTTTATGTGTCTTCTGATATGAGCTCGATGTTTAAGTGTGTTTTAGCCTTTTATGAGAAGGTTAAGGTTAAGGTTTAGTGAGGCCATTAGCCTAAATCCCTGACAAACAATAGAACCTTCTCATAGCATGTGCATAAACAATCTCAAATTGGAAGCCACTCTTCTAATTGATCCATTGTGAAGAGATATGCACATGTGCCAAGAGAGGAACCCTTGCACCTCGTGTGAGTTCATATCCTTGGTGTGCACCTGTAATCTGTTGGCTATGTGGCCTGTCAAGGCCTTAAAGCCGAGAGTCTTACGCTCAGTGGGAGTTAGAAAGAGACTGAATTTGGGTGTTTGGCGCACTGGGGCCCAAATTCGTATACCCCAAGTATTTTAAGCATTGAGAGTATATGTTTTGAGAGTGTGAACTCTAGGGGAGGTGTGAGGGTTACCTTTCAGTCAGGACTATATTGATTAGAATGCCTCATGGTTAATGTGATAAGCCAGGGTCTGGAGAATCCAATCGAGAATAATAGAACCCGAGTATTTAAAAGAGTATTCGCCCTGTATGGAATGGTCGACTCATGGGACATGAGCCCGTATCCTGACACGAGAACGTTCCATGTGTGCACCCATAGTCGTATGGGGAAGCCACTCTTTTATAGTATTATCGGACTTAGAAGAGCTAGTGCACATGTGCTTTGAGAAGACCCCTGTATTTGAGTAAGAACATGTCCCACAGGGGTGCATTGGTAATCCATTGAACCCCACGGTGACGGGAAGCTCTTGCTCAGCGACCTTGATGTGACCAATTCTGTGTCCTTGCCATAGACCATAGACAGTGGAGCATAGGTCCATTGGGTCGGCTTGAGACACCGGTGGAACGTCATTAGGGTTAGCCCAATGGAAGACTCCGACTAGTGTTATAAGTCTAGAGATCTCATTTACCTTTGGCCCAAGTTAATCTAAAATTGATGAGAAATGATTTTATATTGATGAGAAATTATGTAATAATGTTGAGAAATCATTTAGAGAATTTTTGGGATTTTTGGAGAATTTTTCAGATTTTTTAAACAATAAAAAAATGTGATTTTCAAATTTGTTTGACATAAATGCCAAACAAGGACATCCTATGGGGATGCCACATAGATCCCAAGTGGCCATAGGAATGCCACGTGGCATCCTCACCTCCCCACTCGTGGATGACATCATGTTGATGTCATATCCATGTGGGGACCTATTTGTCATTAGTTCTTTTGTTGGTATTATGTTATAACATGTTATCTTGTTATTCAAAGTGTTATATATTGTTATGACTTTAGTTTGATTTAAGTCACATATTTTGTTTTGCTCATGTATGCCATTTTTGGCTTGTGTGAAGTCATGGGATTTTGAGAATTAATTTGATTCATATTATTATCCACATTTGATTTTGTAGCGTGTGGGTATATCTTATGTGGCAACACCTTATGGGCTTGACCCATGTGAAGCTTTAGTGTTGTTAAAATCCTATTGGTGGTGTCATAAGATATTTTATTGACGTGTGGATGTCCCATATTACCATTATGTCTATGTCCTTGTTTTTTATTGACTCTCACAAATTATTCAAAAACTATAGGCATAAGTGTAAACATGAATTTGGACTTAATGGAAAATAAAATATGGAGCTAAGGCGTCAAGATAAAATGACTATAAACTTAGGTTTTAAGGAGTGAAGGGTGTCAAAAGCTCATCCATTGATCTTGGTGATAAAATATGGATGAGCGACTTGGATAAAAGCCTCTCATGTGCCATTGATCTAAGACATCAAGTATCATGATCAAATCCATCTTTATGATCTAAGTATAAATGTAACTTATGGGATCACTTATAACCCTAACTTGAGTATTAGAGAGAGGGAGCCCTCTTGACAAAAATGTGGCCACCCATGAGACTATCTTTTTCCTTGAGCTTTCATTTGAAACCCTTCTATGGAGTAGTCCTTCATTTATGTGATCAAGCTCATACTATTGCTTCATTAAGGTATTGATTTTTCTTCTTATATTTTTAATTCCTACGTCATTTCCATTATCAAAGCTTGCTGTAATTCTTAATTTACAGTAGCTTTTTTCATTTTTGGTCATGAAAACTTGATATTTGAAGACTCCCCAAGCAATAGTATAGTCCATACACAGTATGTGTAGACTAGCTTTCTTACTCCATGATCTTTAGTAGTTTCAACTTGATTTTCTTGATCTTATTTTTCTGGAATTTTTACTGAGAATATACAATTGATGAGAGGTTTATTTCATCATATTTGAGCATAAAAGATAGTCCGTTGAGTTCTTTTTTGAATGTTGAAAAGTTCGTGTGGTCCCTTATAGACCACACGGTGTAGTTTCACTATAACTTCCTTATTTTGTGTAGTATCTCTCTCAAACTTTGAAGGGCTATTTTGATACATGTCTCTCTCATGATTTGATCCTCATTAAGTGAAATAAAAGTGATAATTTGTTTCCCATTGGATTGATCGCTTTGAGTTATTATTATCACTCGTGCTTTAGACAATGAGACAAAATTAAGTCTTCAACAGGCCCTTTTGTGGCCTGGGCACAAGGGGTTCGAACCCTGGTTCTCCCATGTATGTTTGCATGTTAATTTGATGTATTTACAATTATTAAATGAATTTATGATTGGTTAAATTAGTATGTTGTGTGAATATTGAGATTGTTCTTTAATCTTGCTATATGAGGTTTAATGCTATGCATTATTGTTTATGCGAATTGAAATCTTATTGGATTATTATGATCAAGTGTATGATGTATATGAGACATTGTGATATATGATGAGGATAAAGAATGAAGATGGAATTATCATATAATTTTGATATAATGAGGAATTGCGAGTGCAAGTCATGCAAAATATTGTGGATATGTACATTGTGAATATTGTATTTTTAATTGTATATTTGAGTAAGGGATTTGTAAGGGACCTATTAGGGTTGAGTTTTATTATTCAAATGTGTATAAACCCTGTTTGTAGGCTGAAATATATGTATTATGGTTTTGTATTGAGATATTCATGCATTTAAATCTTTGAGTTTTTGTACAAAAGAAAAGTTTTAAAAAATTGCATTTCTAGCCCATTGGTCTTATACCACTAACATAATCCACTAAAAACTTAGGGATTTTGAGTTACTCATTGGTTTGACTTTAACAAACTATATCATGAGCCCTTGATTAGTACTGAGATTCATGAGTTTGTTGGATCATACTGACAAGGTGACTCTGGATTCTGAGTCTAGCTGAGTGGAGTACGCTGATACCTAATTCAACTCCATAGGATTCTAATTTCTCTTGAAAATACTTTTAAATGCTGCAAAAAAAGTGAGATTTTTTGATATTTTTCTGAGCAAGAAATAGCGTTTTACTGATTGTTTTGAACAAATGACATATGAGGACAGACCATGGGGAGCTGCATGTGACAGCCAAATAGGTGTCCATGTGGGCTATGGGTCCTCCATGTCAGTGCCACGTGGAGATGACGTCGGGGTGATATCAAAGCCCCATGGGACCCCCTTGTCACTTTGTGGTTTGTTATTCAAAGGGTGATTTTAACTGTGGTAATTTTTGTGAATTTTGGGAAATTGAATTTTTTGGCATGTTTTATATGTGAAGTTTGAGTTTTTTTGCACGTGTGAACCCTTTTAAAAATGACAGGTTTGATATTTCATAGAGACAATTGTAATTTTCACTTAACTCACACATGTGGCACCATATGATTGGATACACATTCTTTTCTAAAATGGAAGGAAACTTTTAAATTTGAATTTTGTTGGAAAATATGCCTAATTACGCTAAGGAATGCTCCTAACTTTGATTTTTAACTTGATTAAGTGAAGAGAGCGTGGGAATTTTTATAAAAAGAAAATTTGGAGTGAATTATAGAATAAATGGAATATAATGGTGTTTTAATTACATCCACTCATCAAGATGGCATGATGGTGGATGGAAGGTTAGGATCAAGCCTCTCTTTGTGTTATAGATTATTGATATGAATGACCACGATTCTCCTATCTGGAAGCATCTCTACACTAGAGC